TGGGGGTGTCCCTACAGAGTCAGACAGCTTTCTACCTCATAATTCAGAAGCCCAGACTCCCTCCATCTGTGGCTCCCCTACCTATGATGGTGATAGATTAAGTTCTCTCACTTGGATGGCAGCAGGGGAACGCAAGCATGGAGAAGACACAGCTACTTCCTCAACATCCTGGCCTCAAAATGAAGCATAGCACCTTTACTCATATTCCATTGCTAAAAATTCATCGTGTGGTCATACCCAATTCTTAGGAAGGAAAGGATATTCCATCTAGATATACACCCCATAAGAGAGAGAAAACATATTAGAGTGAGTCATCAGCTATTTCCTCCCCACCTGCCATCCTTACAAGACAAGACAGATGATACAAGGTAAGTATAAAACAACCTAGAGCATGGGACGATGGAGTTTAATTTAAATAGTGAACATCTGAAAAAGACCTGTGGGAGATGGGAGTTTGAGCAGTCTTGAAGGAGAGGGTAAGTCCTTTATAGAAAGAAATTCTAACAAGTGTAACTAAAACTAGTGCCAAGAGAGATGAGGTCTGAAGCCAGGAGGGAGTTAGGATGTGAGATAAAAATGTATGCTTAGTGCAATGGTCTATGTGTATGTATTTCAGAATCAAGTGGAAATTATTTTAATAATCTCTTTCTCCTGATTTTCTTAAACTCCTTCTATAAATAATTAAACGACAAATAGAATTACCCCCTCCACCATGAGTATCTTAGTCCCTAATGTGAAGATATGAAATAATTACAGGGTATGTTGTGTAAGGATTTTAATGTCATGGAAAACTTCTATTTTCAAGACTGTGCTAATTATACAGGATGAGGCTGAACAAAGGGAAGATGTACAATTAACGGAGCTCAGCTTATTACAACCAGCTCTGTTTAGAGGATCTTCTGAATGTAGATTTATAATAAATCAATAATAATCTAGAATTTATCCTTTAGGAGACCGCTCTGGAGATCACAGAAATGTAGCATTTGATCATTTTGGACTTGACTGTGGTGATGATGTCAGGAGGCTTTTTAGACTACTTTCACTGCTAAACAGGAAAGAGCAGGGTTTTTAGAGGGATAAGAATTCTGACCCTTACTAGGTCTGCCACTGACGGGCTGGTTATAATCTCTCAAGCTGCTACCTCTGTTACAGATACACCTCCATGAAAGAGGGGGGAGCATATAATGGGCACCATTTTCTCCATTTCCACTTATGTTCAGCTGCCTTTGATGCTAAGTCCCAGGATGCCATAAACTGGACTTCCTGAGTCAGGGAGCTACGGGAATTAGGGGTGGGGCTGAGTGGCCAGGTGGACTTCAACAACATGGAATGCAGGCAGGCCCATGCTCTTGCCTTTCCAGTTTTGATTTATACTCAGGTCTTGGAGGAGACATGTGGAGAGGAATCATGGAAAGATACTTGGAAGAGACACATGATGAAAGCTACATGGGAGGCTGTTCCGAGTCCTTGGCAGAGATAATGGCAGCCATTATTTTAACCTCATTGTGGATTATGTGTTTTATTTTTAATTTTGACTCTCTCCTTCTGTCCCAGCTCTCTGGGATCTACCTAACCCCTTTCTTGCGAATCCTTGCCAGAAGGCACCTTACACTTGTGGCATGATTTTGGGCTGCAGCAGTCCTGCCCTGGGGCTGACACTATTTGACAAGTCATTTACCCATAAGGGGAAGGTAAAAATGGGAGTTCATTGGGAAACTATTATTAGTAATATTCTTTCTTCTCTTCTCTCTATACACACTATAAAACATCTTTCACACTTTGCCTTTTGGAGCATGGGTGGCTGAATACTCTTGAAAGCATGCACCCCTTAATATTTGTGGTCCCTGGCTACCCACTGGTCACACATTAACACCTGTATGTGGACAATAGCACATATGAAGGTGTTAGCAGACAGAATGAGGGGCACCCCAGGACCCCCATCCACCACACAAAGACAAAGCATTCTCTTAGTGTCAAATAATTTAAATAGATTAGTGCGGGGAGATAAGAGAAGAAAGGATAATAGTTTTCCAATAAAACACCCAAAGTTATCCAACCTCTCATGGGTAAATGCCCAGGCAAACAGGGAAGCACAAAGTGGGGTCACTGAGGCCCAGAAGCCTGCCACAAGTTTCAGATACCATCTGGCAGGGAACCACAGGACAGGGGCAAAAGGGACTAGGCAAATCTGAGAGGAAAGAGGCAAAATCAAAAGTACAAATTAATGGCTGCCATTGTCAGCCTCCCCATGAGCCTCTCACCCACATATTCTTCAAGTGCTTCTATATGTCTAAACTCCACTTGTCTCCTTCCACGTCCCCCAAATCCCTTGTGCAAGTCCAAAGCTGAGAAGCAAGCTGGCCTTCCACAGCTGCCTCTCGGCTCCAGAGAGGGTCTTCTCCCTGCTCAGCTCATTAGGAGGGGCAGCAAATATGAAACCTTCCCTTTTTACGGAGATTACACTCTGTAATAAAGGCACCTGGTACTGAACCTAGATTATAGTAAGGACCCAATTTTTATTTTAGATCCGGTTCCATTCCCTTCTCCTACTTTCTTTTTCTTAAGAAGGATTTAATTCAACTCAATAGAAATCCTTAAGACTTTAACAACTATACAAGAATGACTTATATCAGATGGATGTACTTCCTCTAAGTCTACCAAACTTCAATAAAAGCAGTTATAGTATCAGTGGCTTTATCTCTTGGGTGTCAAGGATAAAGAAATACCTTAGTTGTCAAATCTCAAGAGCGCTGACTCAGCTCTTCTTTTCTACCAAAGAATATAAACTGCATCTCATGCAATTTGCTTTTTTACTGGTTGGTTCTTATTTTCAAAGAAAATCTTAAGTGCAAAAGACAACCTCTCCTACATGTACACTAAAAGGAGTATAATAAACCCCACACAACTGAGCTCCAAAATGGTCTTTTTCCTAGATTCTATAGCCAGAATATTAGAAATATTAGAAATTGATACTACACAATATTACATATTATAATTGTAAAATGCTGTGGGCTTCCTATCCCAAATCTCAGATCAATGGCCTATAAACCCACCTGCATTTCAGTACTAACTGAAAGGACAGAGACCAGACCCTCAACTCTTGACAAGGTATTAGGATTGCATTACCACATCAACGGCACATATGCAAAGTTCTTGATAAAAATGTTGATAATCCAGAGGCAAGAGAGAAAATGTGAGAGTTTCATTTGTATAAGCAAATCAAATCAAAGTCTTTTAGAGTCAAGCTATTTAATCTATTTGAAAGCATTGCCAGGAATACAAATACCCCACAACCTTGGAGCCAGGACAGGTAAGAGTTAGAGATAGAAGGAACTATAAAGACAGTGATTTTTTTTTTTTTTCCTGATTTACAATCCAGCCACATTGGCCACATTTTGATACTGAAACCAGTCAACAACTCATTGGCAGGACCAAATCCCATAGCCTCATGGAATCTTAGGGAGATGAGGGCAATTTTGTCCTACAATCTGCCCCATAGGGACGAGAATAGGAGCAGTTCTCAACTCTCACACCTTCCTGACCACCCTCTAGAAGCAGGCTCCAGCTGTTCACTCCTCCACACCCTATCACAATTTGTAATTGTATTTTTTATTGAGTTATTTTATTTTAAATCTGTTTCCACTATTGGGCTAATAAACCTTGGAGAGGAAAGGTCATGTTAGCAGGCTAATTCTATGAAATAGTTATTAAAAATGGTCACTGCCGAATATATTTAAATTCTGAATACATTTGTCGTGAACTTGGAGGAGCCTATGGCAATCATGGCACATCTCAGTCTAGGTTCTTTTGCCTGTGTGCTGATGCCTCCTGCCATTCCTCATCAGTGGATCCTTTCTATGTGATGGCAAAGGCTAAGGCAAAGGCAAACTGGGTATCCTTTCAGCTGCTGTTATGACGCAAACTGTAAAGCTATCAACTAAAATCTCACAGAAATCTCCAAAGGTGCTGAAAAAGAACATACCTAGTGCAAATTGCTGTAAACTTTGTAAATAATGAAAACATGAAAAGAACTTGGTGAACCAGCCTTTTGTTGAATTTACTTTTGGCACATTGGCTTGCAGGCAGTTATCTCAGATACTCCTTGTCCTCCTTTATCAGTTGTCCTTTATTATCAAACAGCCTGGTATTTAAAAGGCATACTGAAATAACTAACAGTCCATTTCAAGGGTAAGGAAAGTGTAGGTTAGAGAGATTAAGTCATTGGCCCAAATTACAGAGGTGATGACAGGAAAGATAAAAATATTCAATTCAAATGATTCAAATTTCCTCATATTAGTGTGTGGTGTTTTTTTGTTTTTTGGGTGCTTTTTTTTTTGAGTTATATTCCAGAAAGACTGCGATTATTTTTAGAAATTTAGTACACTACTTAGGGCAAAAAATTAGTGTGGAAAGGCATATTCTGACTATCTGTCCCACTTTTTATTACCTCAAGTAAAAACATTTTAATTGTCATTTATTTCAGATACATTATATGATTTTTCCATCATTTTCTATACAAAATACTATTATTTCTAGTGAAATAAGAAATAATTGAAGTACAATTGCCTGTGGGACAAGGTTATTTCAGCAAAGAAGATTCAAGAATCAATTAGCTGTGGCCTTAGAGAAATGGATTTTTAAATAGGCATGGCCTCAGGTCACCAAGGGATATCTTTAGTTCCCCAATATTTCATCTTCAAAGAGGCCACTACTAAAATCAGTCAAAGGTTTCATACACACTTACAAATATGAATTTTTTAAAAAACGGACTCTTTTTTAGCTATTAATTTCTTTCTACTCTGTCATTCAGGAATAAGGCTTTAATGACAAGGGCATTTTATATACTAAAACAACTAAACATTAATTAAAAAACCCTAACATTCTTCAAATCCTACTCAGCTAGACTCCTTAGTACTTAGATGCTAATTTCTGATTTCACAGAACTGCTGCCTTTTTCCCCTACAGTGATGGGCTACCTGAATAGTGGGCGTTTCTCCTACCTGCTGGGCCAAGCAGGACACAAAAGATGGTCTCTGTGTGGTGAGGAGATTTGCAGTGGTTCATGCCAGGAGAATCTGCTGCTTAGCAAACTGCAGAATCCTAAGAGGACATGAAGAAGAGAGAAAACTTTAGGAACAATATAACTTAATCAGGGTCTTAGAAATGAAGACTGAATTCTATTGCTTAACAAATAGACTTGCATTTAGGCTTTAAGTACAATGCTTACTATGGCCTGGAGGTAAAAGCTGAATAGAAGCTGATCAAAGGAAACAAAGGATAAATAAATGACCACCTGGAGGATTGAAGTGCTCCCAGGATTGCAAACCCAAATGCCTAAGGTATACAGGCCAAGTAGCATTGGGGAAGCAGGAGGAGGTATCTGAAAAGGGAGACTGTTGCACTAATGGTTTGCACTGATGCCTTAAAGAAAAAACAGGCCCCATAATGCCACAATGTCAGATTTTCAGGGAAGTCAGAAATACATCATGTATTTTATAAAATTAAAATAAGATGAAAAGTATCAGTCCCTTTTTTTTTCAGTCTGATTTCTAACATGTGATTTCAGTATTTAAGTTAGAGGCATCACAACTTTCTAGAATATAAAAGGCATCCACACTCAAATGTTGGTTTTAGCATGCAAAACAATATTTCAAAGTCAAATAGAAATGAATTTGTTCATTATCTACTCTTTTGGATAATTGCCATTATTGCTATTTCTCCTTGGATGGATAATTGAAAATTGACTATGTAAAATGTTGTATTTTTCTGGGGAAATAAGCCTACACTCAAAATTTGTCACCCACATTTTAATCTGTTACAATTTTACCACACCTAAAAATTATAGTTACTCTAGTATATTATTCTGTTACATTTCATTAATAGCTCCTCTTTTTTTTTTTAAGCTTCATGTGGTAAGAGGAATATTGCCAGGGCAACTGATGTCCAAGAAACCCATTTGTTTTGTGTCCACATACACCAGAGTTAACTACGAAGTATTTCAGTGACAGAATTAGATAGTAATAATATTGGACATGAGATTAGTTTCCCCACTTTTGCTACAGCCTTCTTTGCCCCAACAAAGGAATTTGTACCTTGAGTCCCTCACGCCATCATCTAGCTACATTTGGTTCTGACTTGTGACCAAGGGCTTAAAAACTGACAGACTAAAACAGAAGCTGAGTTAGCTAACTAATTATTATCAAGATAAATTCTGTGAGTCACTGGCGTTAGACTCCTAAGGGATACAGGTCAGATATGGCACACAAGGATACCTCATCCTATTTTTCTGATCCCAGCCTTGTGATCAGTGTGATTTAAAAAAGCTAATTGGAAGAAATTTCTTGTTTCCCCTAGGCATGATTTAAATAATGTGCTGGTTCTTATTCCACATCCCTCAGCTCCTAAATTCACACCATGTTCCGAGACTATTAAGCATGCTGGTCCTGAGAACTCTAGCCAGGGATTGTGTTCAAGATCTTCTTTTTCCCAGAGGGAGAGACAGAGCTAAGAGTTTTACATCTATCTCTGAGATCATCCTCTGATCATTCATTGTCTGTGAGGTCTTTTCTCCCAGGAAGTGAGGCAAACCTTTCTACTGCCAAAGCTTATAATCAGAGCATATCTTCTGATAAAGATACCTGAGGTTTGGAAATATTGAGTGTTATCGCAAAGATGATGACAGAGGAGGTTTCCAGCTTTGCTCCTGAGAAGATCATCTAACAGTAACAGCAACACTACACCCAGAGAGTCCTGAAGCTTGGATGAAACTGGAACACCCCTTGAACATCAGAGGCAAACACAGACCTCAAGGCATTGAACATGAGGTAGGTGTGGAGAAACTCCAGGAGGCTGAGATTGGGGGCAGGGGACACAGATGGGCTGCCGGTTGAGCCAGGGGATCTGGGGAAGAGAGAGTGAAACAGTGTGGAGGTCACACCCCTAACTGAGGGTAAACCCATGGGGAGGATCTGGGGTGCTGCCTGCAGCCTGGGTACCCAGAAAAATAAAGACAGTACTGTTGGAGGGTACCCCCCGCTTCCCACCCCCACACTACCACATCTCCCACACTCCTACCACACTCCTCACCCCCACCCCCCTCAGCACCCCCCAAGGATCCTCCCTCACTCCCATTCTGCCTCTCCCCACCCCACAAGCGCCCCCCCCCCATCTCCCCAGGACAGAATCTGACCTCTTAAACTGCACAGAGCATACACAGACTGCAGAGTCTCAGAGCTGGAACCTCAAAAAGGAGGGAGAAGCGGAACAGAACAAATTTCATGCCCCCCCCCACCACCACTCCTCAGCATATTCACAATAGCAGCTGGACCCCTCCAGGACCTGCCCCCTCTCTGCTGACTCAGCAACTGTAAAACAGCTCTTACTATCTGTGGAAACTAGCAAAGGTCAAAAAACTAAAATCAAATTAACTAAAACTAAGTGCTGCCTGCAGGAAAATTAAAAGCAGTTCAACACTTTACATTAGAGCCACAGACATTAAAAAATGAAACAAACTGGGAATCTGAAGCAGCAAAATGGGCAGATTAAAAAAAAAAAAATGTGATACTTTGAGTCCCAAAGGTAATATGACATCACAACGTAACACAGGTCCCTGTACTTGTAAAGAGCTTAGTCTCTCTCTCTCAATATCTTACTTGCAGATGACATGATGAAATAGGGCTAGGGCCACGTTTGGATTCTTAATTACTTTCCTATAATATCCATTGTTTCATTCAATAAAACTATGTTGAGTGTTTCCTATAATGTGGTTTTCTACTAGAAACTGGAAATAAGAGATGATAATATTCAGATAATGCAGTTACAGAGATACTGAAGCACAGAGGGAAGACCCTGAATATTCTGTGTGTGTGTTTCTGTACATTTCACATGTGTTTCTCCTGAATAAGGCATTCAGAATATTGATATTTAAGAGCAATAGCTTCATTTGCTCTAACTGTAAAATATGAAAGCAGCTAATGTTTTTGTTAATCAAAGAGGGGTTGTTGTGAGACTAAGGGATAGTAGGATGGAGCCCTAAAAATAGTCTATTTTCCCTAATTTTAAGACTGAAATACATCTAAGCTAAGTCTTTCAATAGATCAACATTATTTTTATTTTCCTTTTACGCAAACTTCAAATAATAGGTCCTGCAGATTTAAAGAGGAATGAAGAAAATTTGAGTTGTTTTAAAGTCTTACTAAGTAAGAAATTCCCAGTATTTGATATGCCATGATTCTTTTGAAGGTTTGACATGATTTCATGATACTTCTCATGAATAATGATACTCTAATTGTACCTTATAAAATTTTGGCCTTTATAAATGAGTTGTTCACAAATGATTTGGGCAGAACCTAAAATTTACCTATATAATATTTGAACACAGAACAATGGAATAGATTCTGCTTCTGTTTAACTAACAAACCTTTCAGCTATAGCTTTAGGTCTCTAACTTTATAGAAGGCAGAAACTGGTTCTGAAAATTAAGAGCATTCCAGGGCATTTGAGCAAAGGGATTTTGTAAAGCTTGCATACTGACTGAATCATCCACTGCCTACCTGGACCTTTCTGGTCATGTTCAGTATATCTTACAAGCATGGTTAGAATAAAGCATGCCATGTAAGCTCATGGAATTGGAACATGGCATCTGATTTTCACGTAGACTGTCTGCAACAAGTTAGCGCCAATAAGAATTGAGTTGGACCCACTTGTGGGCAGTTGATCTGCATTTTTCCTTCTGCTATTTATAGGCATTTTATTCTAGATCAGCCATGTTAGAAATGGATGTGAATTCTGTCAATAGAGACAATGGATGAGAAAATAACCCAGTGACTATACAAATAATCAGTATTATTCAAAAACAGCAAAATAAAACAAACAGCCCAAATATAATCCCCACCAACAGCTAAAGCAGCAATACTATGTCTTAATTCAATGGGTAGCATCTTAATATGACTTGTGCCTATAAAATGATCCTCTTCCTGATGTAATAGGTTGCCTACCATTCCCAGGTATATTTGGTGAAGATGCCAGAGCTGTATTGACCAGACAGTCATGCAGAGAACATAAAGCAGATCCTGCAGAGGTTAGGAGGTGTGGACTTATGGAAAATTCCTACTTTGGCCTTCATGGATAATACCGAACGGGGATTTCTTTATTCCAAGACCAACACAAGTTACTGAACTAGCAAGGCAAGCAAAAGGCCTATTATAGGAGCAGTACACTTTTTCTTCTGAAACATAAAGCTCTTTTCTAAACCTAAGTTTTTACTGATAGGCACTTAAATGTGAAAAGAAAACACACATGTTACCAAATGGGGCACATTTCCCCAGCAGATCTTCCAAAGTTATGGGGAGTTATAGTTACCATTATGAAAGTGTTTTCTATACCTTGGCTAAGTTGTGAGACAGATCAATTTAGGTATGTCATGAATAAACAGGGAAATGGAGAGAGACCTGACCAAGATGGTTACAAAGGAGTTTCCTTGTTTTACTTTGGAGAGCAACAATTTCAGATAACCAGAGGGACTTTAAGCCCAATTCCATAGAAGACAAACCCACAGCTAACATCATACTCAATAGTGGAAAACTGAAAACTTTTCCTCTAAGATAAGGCTATAAGACAAGGCTGTCTTTCACCACTACTATTCAACATAGAACTGTAAGTTCTAGCGGAGGGATCAGCAAGAGAAAGACATAAAAGAATTCCAAATTTAGAAAGAAATAATTAAGGTGACATGATAACATACATAGGAAACCCTAAAACCTCCATTAAAAAACTGATTAGAAATAATAAATCAGTACATCGGAGTGGCAGACTAAAACATCAATATCCAAAAATAATTTCTGTTCTTATACACAAACCACAAATTAAGAGAGAAAAAAATCAAGATAGATTCCCATTTTTATCATATCAAAAGGAATTTAATACCTAGGAATAAACTTAACAAAGGAGGTGAAAGACCTGACAATGAAAACTATATGACATTGTTAAAAGAAATAGAAGACACAAAATAATGGAAAGATATTCCCTGCTCATAGGTTGTAAGAATTAACCTTGTAAAAATGGTTATCTTCCCAAAGAGTTTTATTCTATGTAATCACTAT